AGAGCTGGGACGTAAGGTCTTCCTGGGCGGTGAATTATCATTGGCATACTTCTGTTGTTTCTGCTGTTGCTTCAGCAGCTTTGTATGCAGTTGAACGTGCTCAGTCCAGTTTCCTGGCAACGTGATATGTTTTGTTTACAAAAGCTGCCAACACTTGCCGCGGAGCAAAATGTTGCAGCTTTGTGCGTGACTTTATCGTTGTCTACGGTATGAGTTTGTTTGAATTCTCAGTGAACTGGTCAACTATTTTTGTCATGTTTTTAACTAACCGCTGTCGTGGAACTGCAACGAAGTGTAACAATGTAAGTTTTTACCGGTTTCCAGAAAACTCTGAACTTCGCAATAAAATGTCGGACTGACGTCGGATTTTTCCTTAGTGAATTATATGCGTTCGTGTAGTATATGTTACAATGACAATTATTGAGTTAAAATTTAATGCTTCTTACAGTACCATTTCGAGCACAAGCAATTGTATTTTGCTAAATTATTTAAGATTTATTGCTGAAAAAAAAAACAGAAATATTGCGTACAGTTTAATTGCGCACTTCACACCAAACTGGACAAATAAATTCGTTTTCACTTATTGAAAAGGGTGATAAAAGTGTGAATTTTCTTCTAATCATCTTGATGTCTTCAGTGCACTCATTCCGTATATGTAATAAGGAAGCAATAAGTGCTCCAGAGACAAGGACGGCTTCTTGCATTTAATCACCCTTTTTGAATTTTTGGGACTGTCCTGTTGCAGATGCAATCAGCAATATTATCCGAACTAAAAAATCTATAAAATATATCCATTCACGATGTATTATATAATTGTTAATTACGCATACAACTCTCTTATTTCATAAGCATTTTACTGCTGTAATACATATTTGCTTTTAGTTTGAATTTATTTCCCCCCGATTACAATACTTTTCAACACAATAAGAAATCCTCCAAATATTGTCTAATCAGAATGCTCGTTTGGCTCACAGTTTGACAGTTCTCGCTGCTCGTTTGGCTCAAAATGGCCGCTTCCGCGAATCTCTATATATGCACGGAGAACAAATTCGTTAAGTTAAGATAACAATCCTAATAGTTACTTTCACATGGAAAAATATTGTTGTTTGAAAGAAACCTATAGTTATTCCAACATTAATTTGACCGTCAACTCAATCATATCTACCTAATAGATTCAACTGTTCATCTTATACTCAATTCAACTATAACTTTGATCAATTATAACAACCGTTAAATGAAATTTATTTATATAATTTGGTTTCAAGTGATCATGATAAATCCACATACTTTTAACTTGTGATGCGTAGAGCAGGCGATAAGATAGCTGAATGTTCTTGTTCACTTTTTTTATGATTTTGCAGTTGTGTGCGATCGATAAAGAAGCAAAACAAACTTAATATGTCGATAATGAAGAGCAGTTCGTTTAATAAACATTGTAAAATTTTGCTTTACTAACAAAAGTTTTCTTGAATCAACTAAAACATAGTTGTATTTTGAAGTTTGACGTTTGTTCATCTACTGAAAAATATAGTTGAGCCAACCGAGGAGCCAACTATTACTATACACACCAAAATCTCAAATATTTTTCGGTACTTTTTTTGCTGGATACGTTCTGTAAAATATCATTTTCACCGAAAGTTTTGTAAAACATATGATTTTACCAATTCTCCGCAATCAAAACTGCTGAATTTCCGCAAATTGCATAAATTTACCGAAAACTGTAAATGGAAATTACTGATCAAAACTGTAACGGGTTGTAAGTCAGCGATACTGTAAAAAGTGTAGCAAATGTACTGTAAAAATAATCTTTTACAAAAGCAAACCGTAGTAAAGTAACAGATTTTTGTAAACATTACCGAACAGGATTGTAAATTGCATATTGTCAATCTCAGTATTTGCTGCCATTTCAAAGTTGAATTTTCTTCGGTTCTCCGGTGTGAAAAGTGAGTAATTTACTATTTTTGGCTATTTACAATCCGTTAAACCTATGCCGAAAAGTTCATTTTTCAGTGAACTTCTATACCAATTGCTTTCAGTCACCATGGATTGGCGGCCCAGTTTCCTTATCAAACGCAAAAAACCAATTTTTGTATGGTTTGTTACGGAGTCAGAAACATCGTCCTTCTCTGTTGAATATTATTTTTGTACGAACGTACGATGATAATATACAAAAAATTACGTTTAATGAGTCAAACGAATCGTTTGTTCTGTAATCATTTTAATTTTAAGAAAACACATGGAAGAAATAATCAATAAATCAATAAAAATCATAATTTTGGTACATTCAGGAAAATAATGAATTACAGTTATTTCGGTAAAAATGATACCGAACGCCATTGTGAACTTTACCAATCATTCTGTAAAATTTACAATCCATTTCAGTAAATTTTGACAGCTCAAGAGTGAAGGAAATTTTCTGAACGGATTGTAAATAATAAAATTGCCGAATAGATTACCGAATGTTCAGCTGTTCCATATTCGGTAAAAAATTACAGTATACTGTAAAAAAAATCTTAGTGTGTAGTTGTTGCCCTCTATATATAGTCAAATCAACTATAGGTTATCTCTAAAACAATTGAACAATATAGTTATTTTAACCGGAAAAATAATTGCGTCTGCTATAATTTGTTCTCTGTGTGTATATAGGATTACTAGTTCGCAGTATAGAGGTAACACTAAGACTAGTAGGTCCCGAAGAAATGTGCTCAGCTTTTTGGCCCCTCGAAATATAGGAAAATCCACGAACCCCTCATTTTATCTGTCAAACTGTTATAGCGAATCAAAACAAACGTTGTGTAGTAATTAGACTAGAATTAGGTACGTTAATCGATTTGCTTGGGACCAATAGGCTAGTCAAGTAGTAAGCCAATTTAAAATCGTTAGTTTCCATCGGTTGGTATGAGTCTAGTATAAGAGAGGAACGGACTAGAGTCGGTGTATAATGAGTCACGCCAAAATAAAAACAGTTGAACTCGCATCATGGTTTTCGAAAGATTCCTTTTCTTTTAACTTGCAAACAAAGAACTTTTGCATCAACTTCAAATGATTTCTAGCCAGAAAAAAAAAATAACGGTAGTAGTAAATCATTATATAAGTGATTTTGTCAAATTAACAAAAAATAATATAAATTCTCATTACTGATCATTACCAAACGTATTTCATGACAATATAATGCTCACTGCGTGTTTATGGTCATTTCTTGGATTATATTTTATATTTTATTGCAGTACCTTTCGTGGACATGCATCGTAATGTTTGTTTACTTTGCTGATAGGTAGCTGGTTTGACAGTTCAATAGGTAGACTTGGCTTCACTCTTGGCGTGACTCATTATACATCGACTCAAGAGCGGACAGGCTCGTTTTGAGCCAAAGGAACTGTCAAAGCCAGAGCCATCTGAGCACACTAGCAGTGTTACTAGAAGTCACCTAGGCATATGTTGGCAATGCATTTTCAAATAAAGTACCTCAATCTTTTGTTACGTTGTGCTGTTTTCATGACTATTTTTCCAAGTATGTAATACCTGCTAATTTGTATGATATACTTCCTTAAAAATAGCGTTAAAAATATAAAAATGAACGCAAATCCTTAAAACAAAGTGATAGCAATTTGTCTTCTTTTGCAAACATTTGCATTTTTAAAGCACTTACAACTTTGTAGAACATTAGAAAAATGGTAAAATTTAAACAGAAAAGTTATGATAAAAACGAGGGGGGCGACTCTATCTAAGATGCAGGAAATTTGTTGCTTTGCTGTTGTGAGATGCACTCGCGCTTAATAGATAGAAACATGATTGATTATGATTTTGAAGATTTCCTGCAAAAAGGTGGAGAGCGATGCAAGTAGATGGGTTTAGATGCAAGAGATGAAGAAAGGTTTTTCGTAGATTGATTCGCTAGTGTGAGATTTTTCGATCATTTAAAATCGAGATTTAGATGTGTCGCACCCCTCGGATAAAAAACGCTTTTTAAGGGGCACTACCGTTTGTACTAAATTTTCACCCTATAACTTCGTTCAATTGAAGGATAGAAAATGTTCGTCTGCGACCCCCCTTAAGCTAAAATTTTCACTACACGGTAAAAATTTGTCACATCTAATCCAAATGCTGTTGCACTTGTCTCAGTCTGTTATGCGGGACTACGAATCGAAGTGATTTATCACTGATTTTCAAGTAATTTGCGTTTTGAAAGAAAGTGATTTGTCGTTGAAAAATATGTACTGTATAACACTTTTAAATCAAAATGATTATCATGTGGCTTGGCACCACTGTTTTCATCCATTGAAATTGATTAGTTTTGCTTTTGGAAACAAATGTCAAAAACATTACTCGCGAAGATGGCAAGTCAACAACCAATGAAGTCAAGCGAGAGAAGCGATAATTCTCTTTCTCCACGTGAAAAAATTTGCGTTCTAGAGTAATACGAAATTGTTGCTGTAGCCAATAATAGTGTATTTTCAGATAATTTCGATTACAAAACAGTGTCAAATTTATGTCTCGTCTTGCTTCTCCTAAAAGTCTGGCGATGTTGTTCAATATAACTTGGAAACATGTGATCTGGGTAGTAATATGATATGATCATATTCTGAATAACATATAACAAGTATGAACAAGTCTATATATTTATCAAAATCCATTTTCAGAAAATAAATAAATAAATTGTTACTATCAGTATGGTTGACATTTCGAGTTCAAAGCACAGCACATCAACAACGATGTGCAATACAATCTAAAATGAAGTGATTTGCTGGTGATTTCATTGTGCTTCGATATGATCTCTTCGGGATTTGCACATCGAATTGCAATGTTTGGCAAGTAGTGCAAATTCAACAGCAAATCACTTTACATGAACATGATGTTTTTTTTTACCGTGTACTTGAATAAAGTACTCAAAAATGAAGAAACATTCTACATGACACCAATATGCTACACTCAATAGTTTCGTCGCAAATAGCCAAGTCCCAATATTTTTGATTTCGATGCTTTTACTTAATCGTCCTTACCTGAAATATCGTGTAACCGCTATCGTACATCCAAAAGTCCTCCGGTGGATTGCCCGGTTTGGTCAGCTGAATGGCCAGACACTGTTGCAGTATCAGCCGACATTTCTTCGGCGTTCCGGGCGAATTTGTACTCATTTTGGTGCGTCGACTGCGGTAGATCTAGTTCGTACACAGCTGGAAGGTTCGCACTTCTATCCGGAACGCTCATAGATAATGCTGTACGTCGTTCGTCAGATCTTCAGCACTTCCTACCACTACCACTACTCATCTAAGCGAGCAAAATCTACCGGTTCTGGGATCGCACGTGTTGTCTTCTTTATGGGTCACTCTCAATTACACTTGGGTTTCACTATAAGAGGGACGGGTTTACTTCCACGATCAAAAGCTGGATATGATATCTCCGCACTAGCTTTGCTCAGGTGGATGGGGTTATTAATTTTCTTCTTCTTATTCTTCTTCTTCTTGGTCTTGATTTCAGCCCAGCTGCACAATAACCTGCCACTCCGGGGGGCTGTTCCTGCTGTGTCCCGTCCGTGCGAACACTGTTATTACAACTCTCTTACTTTCGTTGTTGTTGTGTGTTGCAAGTGCAAGTGCAACCGAACTGCGTCCAGTGGAGCTTAGATCGTATGTTCCCTAAGGCGGCTGGCAGTTGTGGTGCGTCGCGTCGTTGATTTAGGTTGGCATTTCCCCTTGACGGGCGGCTTCTGGAAAGAAGGAAAATGATCCTCTGTGAGTACTGCGTTCGGTAATCATCTAATGTGAAGCATGTAATTTAGAAGGTTTAATAATGTAGGGAAGAAGTATGGACAAAGCAAGAGGCATTGAAGAGGCATTCAGTCTGCAAAAACAACAATCCACCGATTGCCCAGTCGGCAGCATCTCGGTGTGCGATTGTTTTTCCCAGGCATGCAATTAAATAGCAATCCCAAAGACATAGCCAATCTCAATCGTGCGCGTTGCTTTTTATCGTAGCAACATTAATGAGCTGGCGGGCCAAACTGGAGGACAGATATGCGTACCTAGATAGCGAAGTGAATGAGCAATTACTCATTTTCTTATTTTTCTGTGTCGAGGCTGCGTAAGGAGGCTTAATTTTTGTGCAGGGCTTCTACCCTCTACCTATTGCTATCTAGTAGTGCGTTCGCAGCTGCGTAGCCCAAAACGGAGGCGCGTCGCACAATTATTGCGGTTAAGTGCAAGTGCATGTTTTGCGGGTTGAATTGGCGAACGGTGCCGGTGGTCGCTCATTTGGTGGATATCCGTCGATACAGCCCGTTGCGAACGAACTTTCAGCGTTGTACCTACTTCTATATCATGCTGGGGCCGGGCAGTAGTGGTTCTGCAGAAGAATAATTAATTTGCGAACAGGCAAAATGTGGGTCAGATATTGGAAGGGCGTAGCCGCGTAGCAGATAGATTGATAATATATCTTAAAATGCTGAAGGTTTATGCGAGGTTAGCACGATGAAAAGGTGGCTGGTATTTATTTTTGTAATTAAATTGAACCAGAAGGTGCCCGGATTTTGATCAGTAACTGGATTTTGCTGTGATTTATTTATCCATTTTTTTTAAGGTTTATGGTTTATTTCTTTGCAAAGTTTCATCAATTGTTGAACCTTGTCATCTGGATGCACACGAGAGCATTGCTTTTTTTTTTATTAAAATGGGTAGTCTCAAAATGACTGACTGATAGTTTCAGCGACGAAAGCATTGGTTGAAACAGACTTATATAGATTTTGAGACAAAAGTTCTAATGAAGCATGGTCGTGAAAAAAAAAAGATCAAAATGTCAATTGGACGCAAGGAAAAAAAAATACTTTAATTATGTAGGAGAAAAGGTTCCTGCATTGTTTTTTTTTCAGGAAATGCTCCCTATACATTTGGCAAGGTACCTCAGAATATAGAACACAGATGATCCCTGAATAGAATAAAAAAAGGGTGTTATAACAAATGTTATAGGTTTCAGAGATCTCTGATTTGGAGTTCAGAGAATCCTGGCCAGTGCTGGAAAATCTTATGGTTGTCATTTGAGAATGAGTCCTCTCACTATCACGCAACGAAACTACTCATCAGGTGGCTTTCGTTTCATTTTTCGATGATCAAGCACTCGTGAGCAGTACTGCAAAATATCAATATCAATAGCAGCTCACACAGCTTCAATAGCAATGTCACTCAAGGTCCGTTTAGACTATCTGATTTCTTGGTCTGATTTTGACCGCCGCCATAATGGAAAATCTGCTCGAATTTACTTTCGACACACTTTGTCGAACCCCCCTGTTTGCTGGTGTTCACACTGCTTGCACGTGTCGAAACAATTGTCAATTTAGATTTAAAAACAAAATTGTATCCGGAATCAAAAGTAAATGCTTCCATAATGAATTACCGGGAAATTGCTCATGCTTTGGCAGGCGTATTTGCTTTTATTATTTTAAATAAAATGAGAAGGTGAACTTTGTGGAGTAGGAAATGGTTGCTCAGGAGGAACACCTTCAGGGATCTGGCTCATCTTATCCTTCAAGAACTGCGATATTAAGACGAAAAAGGATTTCAAAACTTCGCCAGGATATCGATACCAACTTTCCACAAGCTAGTGGGAAAAGTTCTCGACAGATCTACATGATTCTTTGAGTTCTGAAAATTTCTGTTCTCAGATCTCAATTCGGCATATTTTTCTGAGGGCCTTCGGACGTCCCTAAAGTTTTATTTCTGTTCTCTGGTAAACTATCTTTGAAGATCAACAAACTTTCCTTAAGATCTGCAAATTTCTCGGTAGTTATGCAGATTTCTTCTCTCGAAAGTTATATATTTTTTTCTGTAGATTATCATGATTCAATTAATATCTGCAAATATCTCTGAACAACTACGCAATCCCCTTATCTACAAATTTTTGAGCTTACCGGAAATTTAAGGAAGTTCTCTGAAGATCCACTAATTTTTCTGAAGTTGTGCAAATATCTATAAAGAGCAGCGAACTTCCCACTTAAAATCCAAGAACCTCAATATAATTTTGCAGTTTTTTCAATAGATCTTCTCTAAAGTTCTGTACATTTCTTTGTGGATTCTTGGACTTCCACAAAGTTCTGCAGATTTATTTGAAATACTTTGAAATTCCTTAAAGCTCTACAAATTAACTGAAAATATTTGAATTTCTCTGAAGTTGTGTAAATACTTCTAAAGATCGGCGAACTTTCCAGAAGTTCTGTGAGTTTTGCTAAAGTTTTGCATTTTTTTTCTAAAAATGTACGAACTTCCTGAAGTTCAACATACTTCTCTTAAGGTCTACGGACTTTTCTGAAGTTCTTCAGACCTATCTATTTCCAACTTCCATGGAGTTCTGCAAAATCTTGGACATTCGTACTTCGCTGAGATTTGTTTTTGGAATTGAAGTACTTTTCTGAAATACTGAATCACTGAATGTCTCTGAAGATCTGTAAAATTCCTTGCAGTTCTACAGATTTCTCTAAATATCTACTCTCCTGAAGTTCTGAAAATACCTTTAGAGTTCTGTAAAGTTGTCTCATGCTCCGTAGTTTTATTCTCAGGATCTACGAATTACCTTGAGGCTCAATACATTTCTCAGTAGAAATGCAAACTTGTCTGAAGTTTTGTAAATTCCTCTGTAGGCTCACGGGCTACTCTGAACATCTGAAGATTCTCAAAAATTATCTGAAAATAGTTGAGCTTGCTTGAAGTTTTAAATGCTTCTCTCAAGGTCTACACATTTCCTTGAAATCGTATAAATATTTTTTTGAAGCCACCGAACTTCCCTGAAGTTTTGAAAATTTCACTGAAGGTCCATTAAAATTTCTGAGATTCTTAAAATGCATCAGAAAAGTTGCACTCTTTCTTGAAGGTCTAAAAATTTATTTGAAGATCTATGACCATTCTTGCGATTTTTCCAAAGTTCTGTAGCGTTGATCTGAAAATTTACGAACTTTTCTGATGTTCAATAATTTTTCAGTAGATCTCCAAACTTCTTTGATTTTTTTTTACATTTCACTGTAGATTCTTAAACATTTTTCTGAAGATCTACGATCTCTCTTGTGAATTTTTCTAAATTTCTGCTGATTTCTTTTAATTTCTGGAAAATTTTCTGCAGTTTTGTAGTTCTGTTCTCAAGATCTACGAACTACCCTGAAGCTCAACAAATTTCTCAGCAGATCTCCAAATTTCTCTGAAGGTCTTAAAAGTTCTTAGAAGGCTCTCAGACCTGCTGTCTGGCATGCTTATTCTTATATAATACATACTTCGTATTATGTATCAAGACCAACAATTGAAAAGGCCTCAACTCCATTTTGTAAACAAACCTTGTAAGGCCAGTTTGTCGCGAACCGAAGTCCGCCAACGAAAATTAACAAAATGAACAGGTAGGGGAAATTCTCCTCTACCCGATTGTGTTATAGGATTGCGAATGTAGGTTTTGGTTCGCGAGAAAATTGCCTTACAAGGTTTGTTTACAAAATGGAGTTGAGGCCTTTTCAATTGTTGGTCTTGATATATAATACGAAGTATGTATTATATAAGAACTCAGGACACCAAATTTCCATCTCTTATGGTTCATGAGTTATGATTTTTTTAAACAAGCAGGACAGGGTGGCCGTTAAAAATTGGTTTTCTATGAATATCTTTTTCTTTTAGAACTTTTAATGACAAATATTTTTGCTCAAGCAACCAAGTTGCTAATTTTTTTATTGGATTTTAAAGGCGTTTTTCTTCAAAAAAGTGGCACTTTTCAATTCTCAATATCTCTAAAATGAGCACACCGATTTTCAAACTTTTAATTCCAATCGAAATATCGTTATTTTGTTCATTTAGTTAAGTACTGCAAATTGATTGTTCTGCAACTTTTTTGAACATTGCATTGGTCTATCTCAAACAATAAAAAACTTGCAATGTTATGGACCACCCTTACTTCACTAACATTGAAAGATTGGCCAACAAATATGAAGAAACTTTCCCCAAGACACCATATGCCTAGAACCAACGGTTTTAGCGCAAACATTTTTGTCTTCCTAAATACGGCTTTGGGACCATTGTGTCTGATCGAATTGAAAGTCACTTCCTCTTTCAATTCGACCACACAAATATCAAGGCAGCAAACCGTTAACTACTGCTGCGTCTAGCATCAAAGTTGAGAAAGTGAATCTATCACATCTCAAAATCAAACGCATTATTTTACTCTGCAAGCGCTGTAATCTCAATATTTGTGTTGCATTAGCCGAAAACAAAACTGAAAGATGAGATTGTCAATGTTAGAGTTGAACTTAAGTTTGTCATCAATAACCTCGTCAATTTAATATCCCGAATGCGATCAATAGTCTCATGATCAATTACAACAGGGACGTTCTCATTTACTCGATTCTGTGAAATAACCATAAATTTAGTTTTACTTGTATTCAATTTCAACTCTTATACTTCAACTATACTACAACAATCTACTGAGAGAACACAAATCTTCATTCAAGTGTATAACGGCATCTTCTAAATCCTTAGCTGCAATGAATAATACAGTATCATCTGCAAAATGGTAAAACGCGTCGCAAGTCATTAATATACATAATAAATAACAGGGGCCCTAATACACTTCCCTGGGGCACTACAAGTTTATTCCCCACGGGACTGGAAACAGAATCATTAAAAACAGTTCGTTTAGTTCTGTCACACAAATAGCTTTCAAACCATTTATATGCAGTACTCGTAATCC